GACAGACTAAAGGACAGAGTGCAGCTCCACGACAGAGTCAAGTGGACATGGACACTGGACTTAAGACAAAGGTGCTGCCCCACAGGGGAAGACCAGTGCTGCATTCCAATCAACGGTATTGTGTCGTCCTATCTCATAGTCCTAACAATTCCAGATAGATTACAGATATCAATATAAACAGAACAAATTAAATAAGAACAGACGGGAGGGACAATGTAGATGGAGATTTCTTCAACGAAGCACGGAAAGTACTAAGAATGTTAGTAATCGAATTTTATTAAAATGAGCAACTTCTGGCTACCAAAAGGCATATAAACAATAAAGTCTCATCTCTGTCCTTGTGGCTCGCAGTCCAGTGCTTATTCTACAGAACCACGGCACTCCTTATACATGATACGCTGTGGTTGTTCTTAGGTGCCATTGCGTCATTACTGAGTCCTAACGACCCTATGCACAACAGAACAAAACATTGCCCGGTCTTGGGCCAACCTTACACAACCATTGCTACATTTGAGTTCATTGCTGCTGTCATTGTGCCAATCCATCTTGTTGGGGGTCTGCCTCTTTCACTCCGACCCTCCACTTTACCAAACATGATATCCTTCTCCAGGGACTGGTCCCTCCTGATATTATGTCCAAAGTAGGAGAGGCGAAGTCTCGTCATCCTGGCTTCCAAGGAGCACTCTGGTTGCACTTCTTCCAACACAGATCTGTGGTTCTTTTGGCAGCCCATGGTACTTAACTCAAATGCATCATAACTCAAATGCATCAATTTTTCTGTGGTCTTCCTTATTCACTGTCTAACTTTCACATGCATATAAGGTTACTGAAAATACCATGGCTTGGATCAGGTGTACCTTAGTCCTCAAAATGACCTCTTTGCTTTTGAACACTTTATTGTGGTCTTGTGCAGCAGATTTGCCTAACGTAATACATCGTTTGATTTCCTGACTGCTGCTTCCATGAGTATTGATGGTTGATCAGAGCAAAATGAAGTCTTTGACAACTTCAATCTTGTTTGCATTTATATGGGTATTATTTATTGGTACAGTGGTGAGGATTTTTGTCTTCTTTTCATTGAGATGCAACCCATACCAAAGGCTGCAGTCTTTAATCTTCATCAATAAGTATTTTAAGTCCTCTTCACTTTCTGCACGCAAGGCTCTATCATCAGCATATTGCAGGTTAATGAGTCTTCCTCCAATCCTGATGTCACATTTTTTTTCATAGAACCCAGCTTCTCGGTTTATGTGCATACAGGTTGGATAAGTATGATGAAACAATACAACCCTGTCACACACCTTTCTTAATTTTAAACCATTCAGTGTTCCCTGTTCAAACAACTGCCTCTAGGTCTATGTACAGGTTTCTCAGGGTTCTAGCAAAGTCAACCACGGTGGACAGGTTTCAGATAAGCTTCCAAACTGTAACATACTAAGACGAAGGAGAGAAGGACTACTTTAAAATATTTAATTACTGAAAACCTTATGAATTGCAGTACAACACTGTCAGATAGCACCAGAATACTGAATCCTGAAACACAATGAAGAGCATCAGAATACTGTCAGATATGGCGCCAGAAGATGAGGCCCTAAGGTTGGAAGGCACTTAAAATACGACTGGGAAAGGGCTGCCTCCTCCAAGCCTATTTGACCATGATGATGCGCATGGAGCAAAGCCTTTGGGAACTTCATTTGCTGATGGGGCACAACTCAAAATGAAGAGAAAGAACTACAAACATTCATTAATAATTGGAACAAGGAATACATGAAGTATGAATCCGGAAAAATTGAAAATTATAAAAAATGAATTAGAACACATAAATATCTTTATCTTAGGCATTAGTGAGCTGAAATGGATTGGTGTTGGCTATTCTGAATCGGACAATCATGTGGTTTACTATGCCGGGAAGGACAAATTGAAGAGAAATGGTTTCACATTCATCATCCAACAGAACATGTCAAGATCTGTCTTGAGGTACAATGCTGTCTGTGATAGGATATTACCCATGTACCTACAAAGAAGACCACTTAATATCACTATTATTCAAATTTATGCACCAACCACTAAGGCCAGTGATGATGAAACTGAAGAATTCTACCAACTTCTTCAGTTTGAAACTGATCAAACATACAATCAAGATGCATTGATAATTACAGATGATTGGAATGCAAAGGTTGGAAACAAAAAGAAAAGATCAGTAGTTGAAAAATAATGACTTGGTGATAGAAATAATGCTGGAGATAGCATGATAGAGTTTTGCAAGAACAACGGCTTCTTCATTGGAAATACTTTTTTTAAACAACATAAAAACATGAGTATATACATGGACCTCACCGGATGGAATACACAGAAATCAAATTAACTACATCTGTGGAAAGAGATGGTGGAAAAGCTCCATATCATCAGCCAAAACAAGGTTAGGGCAGATTGTGGACAGACCATCAATTGCTCATATGCAAGTTCAGGCTGAAGCTAAAGAAAATTAAAACAAGTCCACAAGAGTCAAAATATGACCTTGAATATGTCCCACCTAAATGTAGAGATCATCTGAAGAACAGATTTGATGCAGTAGACACGAAAGACCAAAGACAAGTAGAGTTGTGGCTGAAAGCAGAGAATACAGAAAGATGTTTACCTGTGCTTTATTGTCTTTGCAAAGGCTTTCAAATATGTGGATCATGACAAGCTATGGACAACACTGAGGAGAATAAGCAATCTGAACATTTAATTGTGCTCAGGAGGAACGTGTATATACATAAAATATATCTATTCAAAATGTGTAAAGAATTTTTACAAATTCATAAGTAAAAGACAATTCAACTTTGATAAATGAGCAAAAGATTTCAATACACAATACAGAAAGGAAAAAGCAAAAGTCCAATAAATATCTGAAAAAGATGTTCAAGCTCCTGCATCATTAGAGAAAAAGAAATGGAAACTCAGAGGAATTTCTGCAGATGTCAGAAAGGAATCTGTTTGACCAATCAAAGGATCATCACAGATGCAGAGCAATAGGAGCCTCTCTCATACTGTGCTGGACGGTTAGGGAACCTGAAGCGCCATTTGACATCATTTACTAAATCTAGAGAGGCACAAATCCCATGACTCAGCAATTCTACTCCTTGTTATTTACCCAATAGATCCGCACACACAGGTTCAGGGGACCTAACAGGATGTACAAGAGTGCTCACAACAGTCACTTATAATAGCTAACAACAGAAAACCTCCAAATGTCCATAATCAAACGAAATAAGCTGTAGTAAGCACACAGAATGGAATAAAAATGGATTAAGAATAAACAACTGCTATTAAACATCTCTGGTAGCGTAGTGGTTTCGAATCGGGCTGCAAACCGCAAGGTCAGTAGTTCGAAACTACCAGTTGTTCCGCGGGAGAAAGATAAGCCTTTCTGCTCCCGTAAAGATTTACAGCCTCGGAAACCCTGTATGTGGTCGTTATGGGTTGGAACTGACTCGACGGCACTTAACAACAACAACAACATAAACAACATGGATGAATATCATAAATAATGACTTTTGGTAAAAGACCAGAAACAAAATAATAAAATTATGTAAGTCCATGTATATAAAATTCACAACTGACAAAGCTAAGCTTTGTCAGGGTGATGAATGTAAAG